TGTGTGTCAGCAGCCGTGGAAGCGCTTGAGGCAGAAACTACTGATAATAGTGAATGGAAAGTGATATTGTGCTTTACCCAGTCAATCAATAGATTGTAGCAGGAGAGCCAGTTGTATCCCAGAATGACGTTACAAGATGAGTCTAGACAAGTGACGTAGAAGTCAATAGGAAGGGTGTCTCCGGAAGGGAAACAGATTGGAAGGGAAATAGATTGGGAGATGTGAGATCCGACGGAGCCATCGAGAAGCCAAACTTGGACAGGGGGGATAGATTTGGTAGTGAGATTGTGATCCTCAATGTACTTTGAATCAACAAAGCAGTGGCTAGAGCCAGAATCAATGAGTGTGAGAAAACGAAGGATAGTAGAAATGGGGGAACTGTCGGACTCCGACCCAGAGCTGACTTCAGAGGAAAGAGGGACAGTTAGGGAGTGGTTGGAAAGAGTGGCAGCATTGAGGGTTACGATCTCCAATGCACTGTGACAGTCAACGCAACCCTGTCCTAGTGTGGAGGATACAGGGTTGCTCTCTAGTTTTCCGATTCTGATGGAACCGGCTCAACAGAGGCAGAGGGTTCAGGAGTGGTAGACATGGCAGCAGCACAGCCCTGAGTGGAGGCTGTGGCTTTGCACTTGTTACACTCCTCAGTTTTGTGTTTACCTCCACAGAACATGCAGAGGTTGTTCTTCCGATGGCAGTCCTTTTCTTCTTGAGTAAGATGGCCATCTTTGCCTAGCTTGTCAGCGTAGGGCTTAGGGTTGGAAGAGGAAGAGTTGTTGGAGGGAGAGGAAGACGAACAGTTAGAACCCTTTGACTTGTTGCTGTTGCTGGAAGAGGAAGATGGATTACTGCATTTTTCTCAGGAGATTTCAGCTCTCCAAGTCCAGTAGCGAGCGTCAAGTTCTTGTGCTAGGTTCCGCATATCACAGAGATTATCGGGTTTCCCATGGTGAGCCATATCATCCTTGATGCAGGAGCAAAGACCACGATAGAAGGCATGTCGGAGGGAGTTATCACCATAGCCAATAATGGCAGCATACTGATTGAATTTGACAATATACTTCATGATGCGATCTCCGTCACACATCCGAAGATTTTCGAGTTTGTCTTTAGCATCTCCGACGGCATCAAAGGGGCCGAAGTTGGTTCGGAGTTCCAAAAGGAAGGCAGCATATGAGTATGCCCAGGCAGAAGGGTTGTGGTGATTAGGATGGAGGATATCTGGTTTGAACCAGTTGAGTGCAACACCAGAAAGGAAGGAGATGGCATAGTTGACTTTTGCCATATCCGATCGGAATGTGTCAGGACGGTTATTGAAGTTCAACTGGAGGGAGACGATGAAGGCTTTCAGTTTTCGGGAGTCCGAACCATCAAAGGTATCTGGTTCTTTGACCTTGGTGTGCATGGTACGTTGTTGGTTGCCGTTGAACGCATCAGAAACACCACAGAGAACATTCATGAGTTGGATGAGGATCTGAGTGTCATTGGTGGGGAAGTTAGGGTTGTTGCCAGGGTTGTTGTTAGGTCCTCCTCTGGGACCACTGGGACCACCAGGGCCACCAGGGTTGGGTGGGCCACCCCCAGGGTTTCCTGATGGGTGCTCTTGGCCATTCACTGGTGTGTGAGGGGGGAAGTCCCCATCTTCCAAACCTTGGTCATCATCGTCATCAGGTCTTCAGAGGTCATTGAACAAGGACGTAGAGGGATTCTGTGGAGGTTCGTTTCAATATTGGCCCCAGCTGTTGGATTCCGATTGCTGGGCTATGAAGGGATTAGGTGACTGGTTAACATCAGATTGGTGAGCAGTGAAGCCACTGTGAAGGTAGGTTTCCCTACAGGATTGTTGGTGAGGAGCGGAATCCAATCCAAAGAGGAGAGGACCCTCTTTTGAAGTGGAGGCAGGAATATTGTCCATGGTATAGGTTCGGTTGTTGGCCATGGAGTTGCAGCTGGTTTCTGGAGGAACGGTGAAAGTGGAAGACATGATTTAGGAAGAAATTTCAACTCAAGGGTTTGAGTTCAAATATACTGTTAGGATCGTGCCAATAGGATTGCGGCAGTAATTGTACATAGTGGAATGCCGTGGGATGTGTCGAGCATAGGTGAAGCTATTAGCAACGACACACCTGAGCCGAAGCCCTAAGATGAGTATGGATGGAAGTCTGCAGAGTGATGTAAGAGAGAAGTCCAACGGATCAGAGTTCCATGGACTGGAGACAAGAGTGACTTAGAGTCAGAGAGAGAGAGAGAGAGATTGGGCTGAACCAAGTTGATATTCAAACTCAGTATCTACAGTGTAATTCTAAGGTTTATATACTAGTTAGGAGTCTGATCTAGTTTCTACTCGGAGTGGTCTACATTCTAGGGTGGTCAGTGGTTGTAGCCTACCGGTCGGTAGCTGATGGAGTCCGATGACATGCTGTGCTTAGCAATGTCAGGCTATTGATAAATTAAAATGGAGAGATTAAATATAGAATGGGATATGAAATAGAAACTGGGAATTGGAATCTGTAGGATTCCGGGCTGTGGTTTGTTGGGTTGAGTGGAAGTCGGATTTCTGTCGGCATGCTTGTTACAGGCTCATTATGAGGTATGTATTGCATTAGTGGGAGTCAGAGTGACCAATTATTGATGATTATGAGGTTGATTATGGCAACAATTATGAGTCTGATTATAAGTTGTAATCATCATCATAATCACTCTGGCTCTGACTGTATACCAATTAAGGTAATAAATGTAAAGGGGAGGATTCATAATCGCTGTTCATCATCGGTGCTATAATTGTTTCCATAATTATTTCTATAATTGTCCCATATACTCTGACTCCCACTATTTCTCCTCCACTACTTTTTTGATAGATGAATCATTTCCACTGTCCAGGGTAAGATTTTGTCCATTATATATGGCCATGTTGGGGTATAGCTTGCAGATGTCAATACCCTTGCCAATCCCCTTCCTAGGACTCAGGAGCCATCAGCATCACTACCATACACTTACCCACCTTTCTTCTATCAATCTTGCAACCAAATTTCACCCTATGATGGATCAAATTCGATCTGACAGCTGCGCTGAAACCTCACTGAGATGGCTTCCTTGATTCTGTAGGCAAGGATACTACTCTGACTTGACACCAATGATCATCTTTGAAGCAGCCAATAAGTGTGTCCAGTGACTGCACTGTTATAACAAGAGGGTCATATCTGGTATTCTCATAACCCACTCCTCCATTTCTCTTGGCCTCATGGCAACTCAGACAGATATTCCACCTGATCTTACCAATGAAGACAAAGCTCTTCTATTTCACTATCTTGATGCTGAGCTGAGCTCCCTAATTCTCCAAGCATTATTGCATGGTGGGCAACAACATCCAGTGTTTGACATGCAGGTGTTGAATAATGACAGGCATATACACTGGCATTCTTGCTGTCACATTGTGGAATATATGTGAGCCAGGAGCATTTCTACCATGTCATCCAAACTAACATGAGTGGTACAGTCATCAATAAATGTTCACCTCGCCACCGAGCCCTAGTCATTGTTATTATTCTCCTCCATGCTTTGACTACTATCTCTTTTGCTGTCCAATGGTCATTTATATGCTCTGCATTCATCCAAAATGGACAAAGCTTTTGGACTGTATACTCAAAGTTGATTGCTGTGAACAAAGCAGTCAATTTGGAGCAGGGTATTGCAGCCTGCATGAGTACCATTCTCACAGACTTATATATTGTGTGTGCTACTTCACTGGTGATCCACATCAGCTTACCATTGTTTTGACTTTAGATTTGGTGCTATTGGATGGTTTGGGGATGACACTGACTTATTGTCCTGCTCCCAATCATTTCCCTAATTTCTGCCACTGGTAAAGTGTCCAATCTCATCTACTCCTTCACATATCCAACTTTACATATGTCTAGTGATGAAAATCATTGAGGTATATTATGAGAAGTTGGATGCATACAACTCAGTATTTGTGATGCCCTATGTGTCCCTCATCCTGGCAACAACATTATGGTGCACACTGCTCATCATTTTCCGCATTTTGACTGTTACCAGGGTTAGACATGGAGGTGGCAGCTGGCTAAAAGTTTATTACCATTTTATTGAAGTGCTAGTGGAATCCTCCGCTCTCTATTCAATATCTCTGATCTTATATCTGGTTTTCTACAATAACAATACTTTTCGATGGTATTATCTTGATGTCATAGCTGGCATTGCAAGGGTGTGTTCACTATCCTGGTCTCCTTTATCATTTATCAAACACCCTGTGTAGGGAGTTGCACCCACACTTCTTATTGGCAGAGCAGCTGCTGGACACACACGCCCAACTGAAGAACAAGATGAAAGTGCAACAGTATCAACCCTTCGTTTCCAAATGTCTTCACAATCATCTCAACCTTCACAACCTTCCACTTCAAGCTTTCAGGAATCTACAAGGCAGAGTGCAGTCCTTGAAATGGACATTGAAGCCCAGACAGAGCAGTTGGATGAGCTTGTGGTGGTTGTTGAAAGGGCATAATAGAGCTCATGGTGAACATCTGAAAGTCTGGGTGAGACTTTGGGCTTGATTTAGACTGTAATTTTTTATTATACTATCTTTTTTTACTATTGCATTCTCTACTTACTTGATTTTTCAATCAACTATATAGTATAGACATATTTCTTGACCCCAGCTATGAGGAATACCAATAACGCAGTGAGGAACAATTAGAATCATGACAAATTATTGGTACATCAGGTGATATCAATATTACCCAATCTACCTAATGGAATGTCCAAAGTCACCAGAAACGATGTGGATTGATATCTCTGATGATAGCAGAGTCAGGGTTCCATGTAGTATACTGGGATCATCCTAGATCAAAACTGAAGTGCCATGCCAGAACCATAACCATCTGGAAAGACTGCAAGAATGGCATGTATGCATTAATTAGAATCGAATCCTTGAACAACACCAACATAGTAAGGTACCTCTACTTTTTGGAGCCACTACCACTTCCTCTTCTTCTTCTTACCCTCCCCAGGAGCAGACCTAATAGCCTCCATAATTTGATCATCCAACACACCCACATGCTTTTCTCGCTTCTCCTTCAAGTCTCCCTCCAAAGCACCCTTCTTCCTCACCTTTTTGAACATCATCTCAATCTCATCTATCTCCTTCTCCTTCTCCCATTTTCATTTCTGCTTAGGTTTCTCTGCCTCTTTCTCCTCCTCTACCTTGCCCTCTTCCACAGGAGGTTCAGCCTTCTTTTCCTTCTCCTCCCTTGCCTTGGCCTTCCCAACCAAATCCCTCCACTCCCCTGGCCTCTTCTTCCACACATACAAATTCAATGCCCTAACAAAAAACTTTCCATAAAACAATGCAGCCAAACCCTGCTTGTAATCCATCACACTGCACGTGATTTCTTCCTGTCAGCCACAATGGACATCAGACCCACATCCCATACACAAAACATAAACATACCTTCATATACGTATCACTCCACCCCCAACATCTCTCCCCAACCTGACTCCCAATCCTGTCATCTACCAATTCATGAAAATGCCCTAGGAATGCTAAGATGAGCCGATGCTTGGCTTTGTGTGGGACTGTGAGAGAGTCGAGGAATATGTCGAGGACGCGGGATGAGATGGGGTGCTGGGTGAGGGGGATGAGTGATGTTATGGGGAGAGATAGGATACTGAAAAAGAAAAAGTTTAACAAGTCAAAAAGCAGGGAGAGCACTGCTAGCTAACCTCTCGATGATCCCAGCATTGTATGGGTCCTTGAGAGGAAGCATTGACTGCAATAACAATGCTCCTTGGACATTCGGCTCTGGAGGTGTACTTGCAGACTTGTAATCCTAATAATTCCACTCCATGTTAGCTAAGTCCAATCCAGCCAGCCAGGAATAAACAAACAAACCTCAACTGTCTTCAGATTCATCACAGCCCTAACCAACACCTCTGTCTCATCCTGCTCCCCACACCCAAACGCACCCTTCAACGCACTCCAAACATCCTCCCCACCTCCCCCAACCTCCACCATAGCCTTCACCACACCCATCCTGCCCATCTTTATGGCCCTCCCCCACCACCCTGTCCCCAAACCACCAAGCTGCGTGGGATTTGCCCTACTCACAGCTCGAGCCAGCACGTAATTGGAGACCACATGTGTGGCGAGCCGTTCGATGCTGCCATTCTCTGGGCAGAGGTACGTACCCCAGAGAACGTCAAATACTGGTTGAGGAGCTTGGGTGACGATGGTTTCGAGTAGGTGGGACAAGGTTGCATCTTGGAGGAGGGTGTGGATGTAATCTGACTCAGTGGTGGGCATCAAAGAGTTCACTAATGGTCATGAGTATGTCCCTAGATGCATACGAAATAGAAAGTACTCACACGTTTGACTGACCATCCCAACCAATACACGGTCCATCAAACTGCTGCTTTTGTTTGACATACCATGCTTGGCTTCGACTTCGATGAGAACCTATCATGAATATCAATATATGCCAGGAAACATGAAGCAATGACTGACATCAAGACCAGGACATGCGACCTTACTCCCTGCACATGCTCTTACCTCATTATCACTCATCCCCTCCCTGAACACCCCTACGATCTTCCTTGCTGCCTTGTCAAAGCTCCTTGGCCTCTCCCCCTTCCCCTCCTCCCCTTTTTCTGATGCAAAGAGACTCTGCATCTCGCCTTGCTTGCCTTTCCAGCTTTTACTGTGTTTTGATGTTTGGGACTGCATATGTGTATTTGATGTGGGAGAGAGCAGGAGAGCGAGCGTGCAGATGATGTGTGAGCCAAAAGGATCATGGAGAAGTGGAGGCAGGATGGGGAAGAGTTCCTGTCCATGCAGATGTAAGTAAGATTGGTCTGGGTCTGGACATGATAAGAAACATACATCACATAAATCCAGTATGAGTTCGGTCATCATTGGAAGATGTCCCTTTTTTGCGTCACTTTGTGGTATCTCAGGTAGTATACCTTTCATCTACATAGAATAAATTAGCCATTATTTTCAGCAAGACTCGATGAAACTCACCTCTCTCGAAACAGTCTCCCCAGAAACCTTGAGAAGGGTATGCGATGCGAACCGATGTTGAGCTAGTGCTTCATACCTAACCTCATCAGCGAAACCACGAAATAAAAACAAAACACCAAGTCACTCATGACCCTGTCAAACTATCCATAAACACCCTCCTCGCAAAATCATCCATTGAATGCACCATCCTCTCCAAAACCACCAAACACTCTGGGTCAGTCGCGAGTTGTTTTTCCTTGCCCGTCATCTCGGTGAGGGCAGCAAGGAAGAATGTGTGTTTTTCTAAACAAATACGAAAAATTAGCTTTCTCTTTCCTTTCCTTACTGCACACTTACCCTCATCATCCACCTCCACCTCCTTATCCTGCCACTGCCGCATCTGCACGTCCACAGTCCGGAAATACGCCTTGACGTCCACGTCGAGGTACCCAAAAGGTGCTTCCGAGTCTTGCTCCTGCTCTTGTTGGGGATTTGGGATGATCCAGGACCCATGATTATCCCCCAAAAGGTTTCATCAAAAGTCTGGACAAATTTTCGAAAACTCGGGGGCGAGGTTACCCCAGAATCTGGACAAATCGACCCCCTCAAAGAGCAAGGTTTCCTCATTGTCTGGACAAAAGTCAGGTTTTGGGCATTGTTGGACACTATCCAGGTGCCACCAGCAGCAAAAAATTACATAATGTGTCCAATAAAGGAAAATTTATGCAGAGATGGATCGAAAGAAGGAAAAAATCTCAAGCTTTCCACGTCAGTCTGGACAAATTTTGAATTTCGGCTTGGAACAAAAGTCCGGACAAATTTCTGAAAAAGGCAAATTTTCTGATGAAACCTCTTGGGGAATAATCATGGGTCCTGATGATCCATGATGGTCCAGCTTCGACTTCAGGCTCTGGTTCTATTTCTGCGCTATGTTGTTGTTGCTCTGTGTCTGCATCTGGGGCAGGCTTTTTGTGTTTCTTGCCTCTTTTTCTGTTTTCTTGGGGCATGGCAGCCGGGAGTGAAATAAAGAAGTGTGTGTGTGGCTGTGCAACTCACGTCTATGCCTTGATTTCCACCAGAATATGCCAACCCTCTGTGCAATTGAGGATTACATATCTACATACTCAGGTGTCAGACACTTGGGCCATGGATCCAAGGGCAAAGGGTGGATTCCATGCAGAGGTGTAGTTACATCTGTATCAAGTTGAAACCACGATTTCCGACCCGAAATATGAAGTGCAATGCTTGCAGCCCGAACAAGTGCGTCCCATTCTGACTCTCCTATTCAGGGTCCTGAGATGACTCATAGCCTCCTATCTATGACTCTGCTTTTAACTCTCAATCTATCAGTTACTTATTTCTCCAAAATACATATATCACTGTCCCATGCCTCTGTTTCCACCAGCATACATCCCTGCTTCTCCCATCCCTTCCAAGCAATGTAAGCTTATCACCTTCCGACATTGTCTCAATGTGACTGAACTTCTCACACAGTAATCCGTATGTTCAGCACACCTTCAAATATCAACCCAAGCTGGATCTTCTTTATTACATAGGAAGCTTTGAAGCTTTCCATGAGCCATGGCAAGGTCCCAGTAGGGATCTTTTAATGCAGTACATCCATGACTGTCATCAACATCGATACATGTCCAGCAATTTTGCCTCTATCTATTCATCATCCGGAACAGGCAAGTTGCGCATCGTGGACATGACCCTCTTCTGTTTTCCTATGAACATATGGGAAAGACTCGATGGATTTTATGGAGATTTTACCTTCCTGTTCTCACTTCATTTACCAGGCCATAGCTTATCCTCCCAGCGATACCATCCTAAACAACTATCTCGTTCCCTCCCAGGATCAGGTCAACAACCTGAAACTGATGTACAAGTATGCCCCTTTCTTGGCTACTCTGTTTTTGTATACCGCAGAGACTCTGAAGAGTGACTGTGAGGAAACATATCCGACACCAGAAGCTCTGGCGCTAGCATGGAAACAGTGCCTTGCAGCAGGTGAGACAGCCACCACAGTAGATCCTTTTTGTTCTGGCTTCTATGCTGAGGTGGTTAGAGTATGTACTATTTGTGAACAATCTCTGTTATATTCACATGTCCATCCCCAGTAAAAATCAAGTGGAAGCTCGAGATAGCCACACAAGACCTCGTCAACATTTTCAGTCAGAAAGTCATACCTCGGCGCTATGACAGGCCCTTGGAATTCATCATCTATCTCAATGAAGCACACACTCTGACATGGGAAGGCGAACTCGGTAGCCATCCTTCCAGCACTCTGGAAATCTTCAATACCATCTTGGGATAGCTAATGAGGTTCCCATTCTTCACGATATACATATCCACAACAGATTCAGAGGGTCTCCTTGCCAAGGATAACCAACCCCAGCTAGTCGGCAAGTGCCTCGTCATCCTCGCCCAACAAAGCGCCATTTCCTGCTTCCTCCCTTCCTCCCGATTGCCACTCGGATATCTGATAGCCCACGGTCATCCAGTTCCCGTTCTGGTCTTTCTCAACCACATGTTCAACCAGAAATGGTGAGACTCTATCTTGAGCATCTGGCCTGTCAGTGATGAACATGGACCCCCCTCTCCACGAAGCATTCAAGGATGTCTATGTCAATTTCACTCATTTCACTGAGGCTGGCGACAGCAAGGTCATCCAATACCTGCCTCATATGATGCTTTGGTTCTTGATGTACAGCTGCTGCTCTATGAACTCTGTGGACTTGATCACTGCAATGCACCATGGTTCTCTCCAGAATCCTCTCTACGATAGCTCGACGTCTCAGCTGGCTTTCCGGATCCAAAACTGTGCTGAAGAGGTTCCAATTTTGGTGAAACCACAGACTGTTATGCCGGCTCAAGAGGACCTTCCTGTGCTGTCATAGTTGGGGATCGAGGATAGGTCAAGGCATCAGGTCAAATCATCCAAACCAGGAGCGCACACCGAGAGCATCCACTGGAAGCATTATCAGATTAATGCCATTGGATGTTCTTCCGAGGTTTTCACTGTGATTCCAGTGAAGGAAGAGTGTACCTATCAGAGACTGTTGTGTCCAATGCCTATGGATAGCTTTACTAGAAAGCATAAAGGTATGAATCTTTCAGCCTTTCATACACAGAAACCGGCATTTTTCGCTGACAAAGTCAAGTTGTGGAACTGGCTCCAGGACATGATAAAGGGTGAGGAGGATATCAAGAAAGCCTTGGTAATGTGAACTTGGATGTGTAATGTATGCAATTCCACAATTCTTATATGTAGCAACATATTGTAGGAATAGCATGTGTGCTTTTGGATGTAGGAGATCAGTGAACACGTTACAAAGTCAAAAAATGTGCAAGATAATCGCCCAGGTGGTCGATAATGTTCTAATGGTCTATGCATTGTATATGTTTTCGACAAGTTATAACATACTGTACATTGACTATCAATCTTGAGCAATGTGCTGGTCATGAAGGATGATCTTCTCAGTGTGTGATTGGGTAGTACAGAGGATGAGCGAGATGATTGCTTATGGGAAGGGATGGAGTGGTGATTCGCAACATTACTTGGTTCACTGAATACATTATGTACTGGGAGAAGGCATCAAGGGGAATTCAAGAGAGTAAAGACACCAATGCCAGTAATTGGGTTTGCGAAAGCCAAAGCCAGAGCCTAAAATGACCAGAGCCAGATACATTCTTAAAGCAAAACGGTCGAATCCCGATCACAAGTAATGCCCATCGAATCAATCAACTAAGAAAATCTGGAGGAGGTTCGAGCAGACTATTGATAACATTATTAGCATCTCAATACCATTAGAGTATTTTACACAATAGACTGTTGCATTACTCTTCTAACTGTTGCAATAAATACCCAAGAATAACAATATCCCAGTGCTCCACAAGTCTGAAGAAAACCAGTTCCATCAGAATGCAAAATTGTGCTCAGTCGCACATCTCAGGCACATCATTCTAAGGGGGGAAAGATCAATTAATACATTGTGAAATTTAACTTCACAAGAAAGGCTCACCTCTCGAATGAATGTCAGCATATGGCACGTAATGTAGCCCTTAGCAAAGCCTGCTCCAGCATAGGCAAACAGGTACATCCATTTCCGCTTGAACGATTCATACGACTGCTTATCGTTTAATCCAGGATAATCCTTCGCAACCATCTCCTGAGTCAAATTCTTCTCCAGCTGCCTTCCCCACTCTCGGAGTGTATGCGGGTAGTTGTTAAGCACTAACTCTAATCTGAGCCAAGGCTGATCTCTATCCTGTCACTCGCATTTGGTGATTCAGTGTTAGAGAGGCGCTGGTAGATTGCGAGAAGTTAGGTGTCACTTATAGCGAAAGCAAGGAGCTTGTAAGAGTTAGGAGTATATAACCTTAGCTGAAGCTGGGGTCTAAGGCCACAGCATAGGCTAGCTTAAATACATGTTAGACTCGTACTAAGAATAGTATCTACAAGGGCACGTGCAATGAGAAGTGCGTCTTTCAACGAATGAGGAGTGAGGACACTAAAAGAAGTGTACTCCTGACGAATGAGAGTAAAGAGCACATATCACCTGCATCTGCGTGGGACTCCGTCTGAATAGGCTGCATCCCGCAGACTGCCCTCGACTGATGGTCGACTCCCGTCCAACTACTAAGAAGTGTGATGCCATCAAGAGAAGCATGATGGCACATGCAGGTCATCGGTCATCTGGGGTGCGGCAGCTGTGAACTGGGGTGACGGCAACCAGGTAAATGGGTAAGGAGTTGTCAACAACCAACTAATATCAACTTAGATCAACTAAGGATCACCACTCGCACTTCGGTGGACGATACTCTTAGAGGTCAAAGTAGATTTAGAGAGTGGGCTGGGACTTAGATAGTCACAAAACTCGGAGTATGATTTGGGTAGATTAGACCTTAGCCATAGCTGGGGTTTAGGCCAGCGAAGGCTGCTACTTAAATACATGATGCGTAAGCTAAAAATAGTACTGTGAGAACTCATCCGTTTGAATCATGCATAGGAGTAAGCGAAAACACGTAAGAAAAGAAAAGAAAATGATTAAACTGTAACATTACCCCCTCTTTAAGACTCATTCATCCCGAATGAGCTAGTGTCGCTCCTGTCGTCCGCAGATTCACTGTAGAAGGATAAGTCATCGTCGGGGTTAGAGTCTGAGTCCCATCTTTTGTGGACCCTTTGTAGATTTTTGAGGTCTGATTCTTCGTCTGTTTCGACCTTTTCATCACCTTCGATCACAGGTATCCTGTCCGCCTCGTCAGTAGTAACTGTGGGCCATTTTCCTTGGAGGAAACTCTCTTCGAGTTCTGGGTTGAATGCTGGATGCCAATTATGTGCTCGTACATCTTCAGAATGTGAGGTTACGGATGAGGGATAAGAATCTTGTGGGTCAGTATATGGTAATCCATTATCCGCCTGTTCGACCTTCTTCATGATCCGCTGGATTCTGGCCTCATATTCATTGACTAGTTCCTCTGCGTTGGCCATATTTGAGCGTTTCACCCAGGAGTTTTCCTCCTTCAGGTATCCCTTCCATTTGACAAGATATTTGGTGATGGTGCGACGACTTTGCCCATGTCCTACCGCTTTATCCCTTTGTTCCACTATCTCTTCAATTTCGTATTCCTCCTCCTCCTCAATAAGTTCTGGGGGTGGCCTTTCAGGTTTAGGTTGATTGGGGAATGCAGGGGGTATGTATGGTGTAAGCAGAGCCTCATTGAAACGATTATGAACCTTCCAACCAGTCGGTAACTTGAGTTCGTAGGCGGAGACTCCCTTTTTAGTGACAATTTCGAAGGGTCTGACACGTTGATCCCCAGGCTTTGAGGTTGGGTGGGGTAATCGTAGGTTCATTGCGTCCAGCCATACTTTATCACCTGGTCGGTACTCTACGGCCGCTTCTCTGTGCTTGTCATATGCCCTCTTCATGGATTCCGCTGCCTTGTCTAAGGACTGCTTGGCCTCGCTCTGGGCTTTTTTCATTTCTTCTACCAGTTTAGTAGCCACAGGAACCGCGACCATTCCTTGGGAGTCAGGGAGTGTTTGTCCGTCCCTTCTGAACACCACTTTGTAAGGGGAATATCCAGTTGCAGAATGCTGATGGTTATTATGGGTGAAGGCTGCCAGAGGCAACCACTCACTCCAGTCATCCTGTTGGTGGCCGATGAACATCTTTAGGTATTTTTCGATCTCCTGGTTAACCCACTCGGTTTGGCCATCCGTCTGGGGATGATACACTGTGGAGGGATTTCCTTGAACGTGGATGAGGGTGTAAAACTCCTTCATAAACTTGGAGATGAATACCAACCCCCAGTCGGAGATGACTTTCTCAGGCATGATGCCATAGGGCACATAGACATAGTCTCTTAGAACTTTAGCAAAGCCCAAGGAGGTGAGCTCCTCTGTACAGGCTATAGGGATTATGGTCTTCGAAAAGCAATCGACAATGACCAGGATGGAGTCATAACCTTTGGAATCCAGTAGCTTGGTAATCATGTCTACCGAAATGTGGGTCCACGGGTGCAAGGGGACCTCATTGGGATGTAATGGGGCCTTCTTGGGTCTATGGTCTGCCTTGGTTCGCTGACAGGTTTCGCATCCTTTTATGTAGGCCTCCACGTCGCGACGCATTCGTGGCCACCAGTAATCACGGAGGATAAGCTCCTTCATCTTCTCGATACCGGGGTGTCCCGCCATGACATGGTCGTGCTTTAGGGCAATGACTTCTCCTCGGAGACGACGGTCTATTGGTAGGTAGATCCAGCTGTTGTAATAGAGCAATCCTCCTTCGTGGGTGACTCCCTTTTCATGGTTGAGGGAGTCTGAAATTCCTCTGTCCCATTTTAGGGGATCATGAGTACTCTGCTTGATCCTCTCATGCAACTCCTCCATGGTGGGCATTATTAGGGCCCGGAAATACTCCGCTTTTAGCACCACTACATCTCAATTATCCTCCTTTCCTTGATTGTGATCTGCTCGTCTCGATAGGAGGTCTGCCTTGCAGTTTTGGGTGCCGGGTTTGTGATGTAGGGTGAACTGGTACTCGGCCAGCTCGGTTACCCACCTAGCTTGTTGTCGATTAAGCTTTTGGGGCTTGCAGAAGTATTGGAGGTTGGAATGATCAGTCCAGATCTCGAAGTCCTCCCACGCTCCCATAAGGTATTGGCGCCACTCCTCTAAGGCGATCATGATGGCCAGGAGCTCCTTGTCATAGATCTCATAGTTGTGCTCAGTGATCGATAGGGCCTTGGAAAGGAATGCTACAGGCCGCCATTTGTCATCCTGCCACTGGGACAATACCACTCCCACTGCGCCTTCACTTGAGTCGGCTTCTACTCGGAACTTCCCTTCATCGAGCGGAATCGCTAGTACTACATCCTCTCGGAACAGCTCTTTGAGCTTCTCAAAAGCCCCCTGTTGAGCCTGTCCCCATTTCCACTCCACCTTTCCGGTCAAGGAAGTTAAAGGCTTGACGTGTTTACTGTAATCGCGAATAAAATGCTGATAGAAATTGCAGAACCCTAGGAACGACTGCAACTCCTGCTTTCTCCAGGGAACAGGCCAATCCAAAAGTCCGGCGATCTTTACGGGGTCCATACGAATCTTCCCCTCGCTGATGAGCACCCCCAAGTACTTGGTTTCCTCCACTTCAAATTTGCATTTCTTGGCTTTCAGGAAGAGTTTGTTTTCTCAAAGAATCTTGAGCACCTTTCGTACAATACGTCGATGTTCCTCCTTGGTCTTGGAGGCGATGAGAATGTCGTCCAAATACACGGACACCTCTCTGGCCACGATGAGGTCCTTGAATATATCGTTCATCATCCACTGGAAGGTGGCCAGGGAGTTGGTAAGGCCAAAGAACATTACCAAAGGTTCGTAGAGGCCACGGTTGGTTCGAAATGTGGCCTTCCACTCATCCCCTTGTTTGATCCTGACGTTATTGTATCCCCACCGCACATCCAGCTTGGTGAAGTACTTGGCCTTCTTCAGTCTGTCCATTAGCTCTCCAATAAGCAGGAGTGGGTATCAGTTTTTGATGGTCATCTCATTCAGTTTACGATAATCCTGTACCGGGCAAAGTTTCCCATCCTTCTTTTTGACAAAGAAAAAGGGTGATGCCATTGGGGATTTTGAAGCCTGGATGCGCCCCATAGATAAGTTCTCATCAAGGAATTTGTCCAACTCTTCTTGTTCCATCAGGTTGAGTGGATAGACTTTACAGTCCAAGTTGGCGTTTGCATTGGGAATCAGCTCGATGGCATGATCCCATGGTTTCCACAGCGGTAGTTCGTCGAAGTTCTCTTTGTCGAATATATCTTTGAATCCTCAATACTCCTCTGGTACTATCTCCTCAAAGGACTTGGCCATCTTCTTTGCATGGGCCTGGGCAGCCAACTCATTGGCTTTGGTTCCCATGGCTCGTACATGGAATGCCTCTTCGAAGTCTATCACCAAGATGGTGTCTCCTTCCTCATATTCCTCCCATCGAGCAGAAGGATCAGTATTGGGAAGAGAGAAGGGAACCTTCCTACAGGTGCAACAGGCTAATGTCACTGCTCCGGTATTCCAGTCAATCAAGGGATTATGCCTCTGCAACCAGTCATGCCCGAGAAACAGGGGTGTGGTACCTAGGTCCACCATGGCTAATTCGATTTGCTCGGTATGATCCCTGATGCGTAGCCGGACTTCAGCATACTCCATAATATCTCCCCCTTTATTCCTTGTGCCATCGGCATTGTAGACTGGAATGGGATGGGCCACCTTTTTAAGGTTGATGCTGTTTTTGGTTACCCATCCTCAGTCGATAGAACTTCCCATCGCCCCGCTATCCACTAATGCTTTTAGGGTGTAAATGTCCCTGGTGTCCATGGTTTCTAGCTGTACGTTGATGGATACATTCCACCCCTTCCTCCCTTGTATATACATAGGTGGCTTCTTCAAGTCCTCCATCCATTCTCATCTGTCCCTTGCCTCAGCAGCGGTCTTGGGCTGTTCCTTGAGGGTGTCGCATAGTTCTGGGGTTACCTCCCCTTTTTGACAGGGGTGTACCCAGTTGTTCAACATGGCACAGGCCGCCAATTTGTCAGAGGTGAGACAGAGTGCACGTCGAGTCCAGTGTATACCGAAAGGCTCATAGTACATGTCAATAACCGCTCGTCGAGCCTCGGGCGCTAATTCTGGCTCGGGGGTCACGAAAGACTTCCC